GTGGTGGAAGTGTTCCATAATTTTTTGGAGGTGCATTATCATATGCTTTTATTACATTTGTTGAGCATCTCTAGTAAATATTTTTAGCTGATAAAAACGAAATGGAAAAAGTATTTTTTCGAGAAATGAAGAAAGTCTTGCATGGACTCGATGGGAAAAAAGGAACACTGCTTCAACCTGGCTCAGCATTACCAAGCAAGGCCCAATATGATGAGACAGAAGTGCCCAGCAGCTGTCACTGGTATCAATCTGGTTCAAAAAAAGTTTCCTTTTTTTTGGAAAATTTGACTGAAGCACGAAGCACGTAAGTAGTGTGATGCAAAGATTCTTTTGTTTAAATTTCTGACTTTAATATAATAAGAAATGATACTTTTAAAATTTTAACATGCCCATAACGCGCTGCAAGATGTATCGGTGTGATATGTCGTCTGTTTTTCAGCATAATCCAGGGTGTTTCACACGGCTGACGTGGCAAACCAAGCATATATTTGCAACATTTACGTGCATCTGCTTGAACAGTCCAGTGAAGTACATATTCTGCATTCTCCTCACTGTCAAGAAAACGAGGCAATTTCCTAGAAAACTTCTTTTTTTTTATTCACAGAATCACTGCACTTACAACACCTTATGGGACAGCGTCATCAAAGTGAACATTTCTTACAATCCCCCAAAACTCAAAACTGTTTTCCTTCGTGTCAGAGAGTGATCCAGTGTGAAGAAGCACATCCATGCAAAGTCCAAAGAGAATGGTTCGCGCACGTGGGTGGAGGCGGCCGGCATTAGCTGAAAGCGAATTGTGTAACTAAATTCTGCTTCCACTTGAACAGTACCGAAGGCCTCAAAGCAAACACCACATATATCTAATGGAGTACCTTGAAATTTGCTAGAATGTAAAAATAACTTTAGAATAATCTGCATAACGCGTAGTCGATCGTAAAGCAGCGCATAGGTGAGGAGTGAACGCCCTCGACGTCGAATTTCGAGTAACTGAGGATACTGCTTGACGAGTTTCTCAAACAGCGCCATGTCGTTGTCTCGAAACGAACCAATCGCCTCAGCAAAGAGTGCATTCATCATAACCGTTCCACTCCTGGCCAGCAGTGTCTGAACAAAAGGTACGACAGTTCTGTCACGCATACATTTCTGCTGCACTGTGCGTTCGTTTGCCTCACAGAATGATGGCAAAACAAAATCATTGGCGACGCGCACCGGGCTGGTCCGTGCGATCATGCGTTTTTACAATATTTGGCACCGTAATGATATCGCTCGGAAACCCAGTAGCTAGAAATGTGTGATATACTGGTCCTCGAAGTTTGGGAAGTTAACTGTGCGCGCGGTATTTGGACAGGGAACATTTTGTTGAAATTTCAGCTTTCCAAATTTTCTTCTTAAGTTGGCAATTTTCTTGCCAAAAATATTCACGAGGCCATACGTAACAACCACGCATTTCCGGGAGGCTGAGTTTGATAAATTTAAGCCGCACATGGGTGTGGAACATTTCCTGAAAATTTCAGCCTCCGGGCTTTTCTGGTTCCCGAGTTATCCATTTCCGCGCCA